TTCACCAAATTCAATCTATATCTATAAAAAGGGCTATGTGTGTGTGTTCCAGTATAACTCTGGAACACCTCAAGCATTTTTAACCAAACTTGGTACACAGATTACTTACTCACCGAAAACAAATACCGTTGGGGGAGAAAACCCCCTAACACCCCTTGGAGGAGGGGGGGGGATTCTGTTAAGATACAGCCTGTTGTGCCTTATAATGGATTCTACCGTACTGCCGAAAAATGGCTTCTCCTGTACAGCACTGTGGAGTTGCCATGGTAACAGCTTTACAGTACTCCACAAGGGGGCTCCCTTTAGTAAGGGGGAAAATCCAACATTAGAAATTGCAGCGGCGTTAATGGAAGGAGGGTTGGATAACTAAATACCCAAGTAGCACCAGGTTATCAGCTAGTGGTGAATAAATAGCTTCCACAGCTATTTAAATATAAAACAAAAAATATAACATGTATTGTACTTTTACGCAGCAGGGATTATGCAATACTTTTTTGATGTTTTGATTCACATTTTACATATGCCAATCATCATCTTTGTGTTATCATGTTAATCCATTTTTTAAATGATTCCAAAGGGGGGAACAATTTAAAGCATTTCTAATAAATTAAAAAAAAAGTTTGATTGCAACACAATATAAAACCATTTAACAAGTGTAAAACCACAAAGCTATGGTGCAGGGAAATACCAAAGAGCAGTACCAATTTAATACATTTGTGGATGACCAGTATGTCTGAATTTGGGGCTGGAAACAGAAGAATGACAACATTATCCAAATGAAATGGGAATTTCACAATTAGGATATATCACAATAGGACATAATTTAAGAAAGCAACTTTAGGCTACTGCATAAAAAAGAAGCAAATGAATAAAAAGAGCACTTTGAACATACATCCAGAAAGCTAGGAGCTTTAGATCTTAAGCCAAATCTCCTTGTAATAAAGAGAGCCATGAAGATGCAACGTGATTTAGTCCATTATCAATTTCATAAGCCAAGAAAAAGCAGAAAACCATCAAGAAACTTCTTTTGGGGCTTTTTAAAAAATTCTGTAGCCCAGCCGTCATCAAGCTGGGAATTAATTAGACTGAAATTTCTAAAATTCCAAAGGAATTGATTTGAAGTCCAAATATCTGGAGGGCACATAATGGAGAAGAAGGATGGTTCTTCCCAAAGGTGCTTTTTCCAAAAGGCACCCGGACTTTCTTGTTGTCGTCCCCCCATTCCTTTGGAAATATTTCACTATAAATCCTTACATTCTCCACCAGTCAGTTAGAACTGAAGAAGCTTGAGAGGACGAGAGATGAAATGTTTTCAAAGGAAAAAAAAAACCCAAGAAAGTCCGGTAGCCATTTGGGAAAAGTACCTTTGTAACAACCATGATGTGGATAATTGAGTATCTCCATAAACATTTAGCTGATGGTTCTTCTCTTGTACAAGGAAAACAGAATCAATTCAATATCACTGAAACAGCAGTCATTCAATAAGGATACAATTATCTGCAATATTCAGCAGTACAAACTTGAACAGAAGATTCTAAAGTGCAGATGTACTTACCTATAAAGATATTAGCATAGGCTACAACAAGAAGCACTGGGATTCCAGTTAACATAAAGTACCAATTCTGTAAAAAAAAAAAAAAAAAAAAAGGAGGGCGGGGGAGACAGCAAAGTCAGTACAAATTTTTCAATCTTTATTTATGTACCTACAAGCTGAATTATTATTAGTGTACTTTTCTTCCATCCTGACATATATGCAGAAAATTCCCAGTATTTTCAGCATCATTGAAAAATTAAATGCAATAAAGTTTAGGAGCAATTTAGAAAGTATGGTCCAGTACCGGAATCAAAATTCATTTTTATTTATGGCCCCACAGCAAGTAATGAATCTAAATTAAAGTATCCTTGATAAAAGTCTGCTCTTTAATACCTCCAGTAAAGAGAGTTTATCACTTCTCAGAGTAATTATATTCACTATTAAACTACTCTATGTAAGAGGCTTTCTTAATATACAGTTGGAATCTGCTTTAGCTTTGCATGATTTCGGGGATTCTGTAGTGTAAAACAGGGGCGGGGGGAGAGAATTTACATTTCCATGACATCATTTCAGATATTTAAAGAAAGCTAACATAACAGCCTATAACAATGATGGCGAACCTTTTTGGCACTGAGTGCTGAAAAGGAAGCATGTGCGCTTCTGCACGCTTCACACATGCATGCTCATCTGGACGCAACCTGGAAGAAGAGCTGCCAAGGGGGCAAGTGTGCACCAGAAAAGGAAATTGCAGTTTCCGGCGCTCACAGGTGCACCAGTCAGCTAGTCTTCCGATTACCGGCATACATGCATGTGTGACGATCGGTTCACCGACAAATGCACGCATGACAAAACCGCGCCGACAAAACCGTGCCGCGAACAGCACGCCATCAACAACGCAAAAACAAGGTAATAACCCTAACCCTAACCCCAACCCTAACCCTAACCATAACCCCAACCCTAACCCTTACCTTAACCCTAATCGCGCTTTTGTTGGCGCGCTGTTGTTGGCGCGCTGTTGTGGGCGCGATTTCGACCTTGCTGTTTTCTCNTATTTTTTCTGAAAGACAATGTCAGACATGCATCTAAGGAAGTGAAGGTTAGATAAAATATTCTCTCTTGGGGTAAGGGAGTTGTTCTGACCTAGGCTTCCCAAAAGCATGAAGCAAACTCCTTTTCCCAACAAAAATCCCATTTATTAATTTACTGTGAATTCTGCACATTCACATCCAGCGAAGTCTTTCAAGAGCGAATTTACAGTCACAGACCTTGGAGAGCTGACTGGCCGATATTTGTAAAACTTGGCAAGGAGTCTCAGAGAGTCACAAACCAATTAAGCAAATTAATTGTCTCCTGCAAACTCCACTCCCCTTTCGCTCCTCTTTTATTTTTTTGGGAGGGAGGGCATTCATTGTCCACCTGTGGCCTTACTAGGATGATGATATCCATATTCTTTAGGAAGGAAGGAAGGAAGGAAGGAAGGAAGGAAGGAAGGAAGGAAGGAAGGAAGGAAGGAAGGAATATCTGGATGATAGAAAAAGCAAAATACGATATCATACATGATGACATATTTTGTTCCCTTTATCATTTAACATTCAATCCTCTCCCTATGTATTGTCTTGAACTTCTAGAGGGAAGGTGGGATGAAAATGCATTAAACAAGTGATAACTACATAAACAAAACAGTGCTCAGCTCCTACCTCACACCTGAAACAATTGTTCAGCATTTCTCTTAAGAAACAAAAAACTACAGGTACGCTTCTAGTTTCTCCTACCTTAACTTCTTTTTCTCCATTTCAATATGTAACCTAGCCATTTCCTTTTCATATTCCTTTTCAGGAGGATTGTAGAAGTAGCGTGAAATCCACCGACTTATAGGATGCTGGAAGGAAAACCAAAGCAGGCATTACAAAATAATTGTGATCAACTCTATTGTATTCTGCTTGCAGAAGGAAACTACAGGCATCAAGTGGTTGGACCAAGGTCCCAGAACTTTGAAAAATGAAAGTCTGCAATCTGCCTTCCGTTAACTATGCTGCTTTTCAGAATCACCCCAATTTCAGCTTCCAAATTTTCCTCTGATATTTCACATATGTCCTGTGTCACCATGCAGAGGTGTTGCTAGGTTCTGGGTTTAAATGAAAACAGATTCTCTAGAAACTCTTTCAGTTGTGAATGCGATTCTTCACACTATAATTATCACATTTCTTCATAATCCATACAAGAAATTGGAGAATAAAAACGTGAAGCCAATTACAAATACATTCCCATTTGCCTAATCTAACTTTCAAAAGCTTTATTCTCCTAAGTCTGACTTACAAAATTCACAGGATTTTTCCTTCACGTTTTGTACTTACTTTATGATACTCCCAATGTTCTGGAATATAACCTTCTGGGATCTCAGCCAATTCAGCTTGACCTAGGCAGAGACAAGGTCATTGTGCTTCAGTGCAGCAGACATATAAAAACATACTGATGGAAGAACAGAAAGTCAACAAATATTGCCAGTCATAATTTATTGTCGGCCTAACAGGAGGATAATCTCTACATTTGCAATCCTATTGAATACATATTTATTCACCAAATTCAATCTATATCTATAAAAAGGGCTATGTGTGTGTGTTCCAGTATAACTCTGGAACACCTCAAGCANGTTTTCCAATATTTGAGGAGCTGCCACAGAGAAGAGGGAGTCAACCTTTTCTCCAAAGCTCCTGAGGGCAGGACAAGAAATAACAGAGCAATCCAGATCTAGGAGAAATTGCCTAACAATAAGAACAATTAATCTATGGAACAGCTTGCCCAAAGAAGTTGTGTGTGCTCCATCACTGAAGGTTTTTGAGACCGGACAGTCATTTGTTTGAAATGGTATAGGGTCTCCTGCTTGAGCACAGGGGTTGGACTAGAAGACCTCCAAGGTCCATTTCAAGTCTGTTCCATTGTTACTGTCACCTCAGCCTTCTTAGAAAAACATTACCAACTCCATCACCCTTTTCTACAACATTTAATTTTTACTCCCCTATCAATCCACTCAGCATCTCAGCCAGTTTTTCAAATCCTTCTTAAAGAGTGATGCCCGGTATTAGATAGTATTGGAGAAAAGTGGAATAAAGTGAAACTAATCATTCCTGTGATTTGAAAACTATATTTCTTTTCACACAGTCTAAAATTGGTTCCCCCCTCCCTTCCGCTCAAACTTTTTCCAGGCCCAGTTCCTAAACTTACCATTAATCTCACAAACCGGTGATCATAAAACCGTGTTGCTCTGATGAAAAACATCTTTTTTCCATCGCTGGAATAGCGCAGTGAAACTGAAAAATTAAATTGGCATCTTAGTACAAGTCAACAATTACTTCTGATATCTTTTCAGAATGCAAAGAACTCCGCAATTGTTGCCTTATTTTTCAGGATGCTGTTCACACGCAGCTATCCTGCAATAGGAAAAATAAAGGGGGAACCTACCCAATTCTGTTCCACACAACTGAGAAATTCTTGTAAGATTAGCTTGACCACACAATAATGTGTTTCACAAATAAAGATCCTTGGTTTGAATGATCATATTAGGGTTAATAGATCTGGGATGCCAACAGAAAACCATTAGGTAATAGCAAGGTTATAAAGCTTACACTATGCAGGTAGTTCTCAACTTATGACCAAACTGAACCCAAAAATTTTGTTGATGAGTGAAGACATTTGTTAAGTGAATTCTGCTCCATTTTACGACCATTTGTGCCACGCTTGTTAAGTGAAGCACTACAGTTGTTAAGTTAGCAGCATGCTTGTTAAGTGAAGCGCGCTTCCCCATTGACTTTGCTTGTCAGAAGTTCCCAAAAAGTGATCACATGACTCTGGGACACCGCAACCGTCATAAATATGAGTCAGTCGCTAAGCATCCAATTTTTTAATCATGTGACTACGTGGATACTGCAAGTCATAAGTGTGAAAAACTGTTATGGCACTTTTCTCAGTGGCATTGTAACTTTAAACAGTCACTAAATGAACTATTGTAAATCAAGGACTACCTGTATTTTTTGCTGGCCTTTAGATCTGTCTTTCTTTGGCCACTTTGAACGTCAGTTTTCTTTACTCAGAATATGCATTTAAAAAAGGAACAGCGCCAGGAACATCAGCTCCTTATAACAAGTTGATCATTATTCAATTCTACAGAGGAATTATTGAGTCTGTCATCTGCACCTTTATAACTGTCTGGTTTGGTTCTGCAACCCAACAGGACAGACACAGACTTCAGAGGATAATCAGAACGGCAGGAAAAACGATTGCTACCAATCCACCTTCCATTGAAGACATGTATGTTGCACGAGTCAAAGAGGGCTGTGAAAATATCTACAGATCCCTCGCATCCTGGACA